AGATAGATAGATAGATAGATAGATAGATAGATAGATAGATAGATAGATAGATAGATTAAATAAACTTTGAGATAAAAGTTTTTCTTTGGGGGGAGGGGGAATGAATTGCATTGTTTTCTGTCCCCTTTCCATGCCTAAACATTGCAATGGCCAAATATCTTTTTTTTACCCCTCCATGAGGTCTAGAATCTTGTGCATAAATAGAAAGAGGAAACTTTGCAAACTGCCACTTGAACTATATCTATCATACAATGGTACCATAGTCTTAACTTAGCATTAAATGTGATTACTTAAACATGCCACACTTGCAGATTGTACACAAAAGCACTAAGACATATCATAGATTAGTGGCTCACAGTTGGCTAGGCTTATACAACATAAATTAGCCAATCATATCTTAGAGTTTTTTATACCAATTCAGCCCACAGGATTTCTATATACTCCAGCATATTCTCACCAATGTAGACCCCTAAAGAAAACTATAATTCCCTTAACCATGTTCAAGCCAATCCTTCAAATGCAGCTAAGTGAATTTATATATAATCTACCACCTTAAAGTTGCTGTTTATGGCAAAAGCTAATTTCTCTCTAGTTTTAGCATCTAATTCAGACTTTCCAACTATTTTCTGGCTTAGGATCTTGGTTTTATAGGGGGGGGGCGTGCTTTGGTGTCCCCTGGGTTAGTTCATGCTCCCTCAAGCTCTTCCTAGCCAGAAAATGGGTTAATTTTGTTACATCATTTAACATGTGTTGTGCAAAGGCTGCTATTAAGCAAAGAAAGATTTACGAAGCACTTTTTGGACTCTTGCTACATAAGTAAATACACAGGGCCATAAATTATATAGACCAAAAGGAAGATAACTTTGTCAATGGGAGGTTGAGTATCTTCCAAGTAGGTGGATTACCTTCGTGGTCTTGCGTAAAAGTCTTTTATTTTAGCAAAGATGGTCACAGCGCTTCAACAACACATTGAATTTTCAAAGCAGTTCAGCTATGGTAACGATAGATACAAACCGGGGGTGGTGGTGTGAAATTCAAAATTTTTGACTACCGGTTCTGTGGGCATGGCTTGGTGGGAATGGCAGGGGAAGGATACTGCAAAATCCCCATTCCCTCCCCACACTGGGGCCAACCAGAGGTGATATTTGCCGGTCCTCTGAACTACTCAAAATTTCCGCTACCGGTTCTCCAGAACCTGCTGAATTTCACCCTGATACAAGCTCAAGGTAAACCGCTCCAAACTCGATTGCAGAAAATAGGATTTCAGCAACAGAATGGTCAATGCCTGGAATGCACTACCTGATTCCGTTTTTGCATCCCCAAACCTCCATAATTTTAACCTTTAACTGTGGACCTCACCCCATTCCTAAGAGGTCTGTAAGGGGCGCGTGCCCACCATCCCTGTCCTACTGTCTCCATTTATTCGTACCCATTTACTGAGTTTCTCTTTATGTTTATGCTTATACCGGTTATCTTTTACATGTTTGACAAACTAAATAAAATAAAAATATGGTGAGTTCTAGTCCGGTCTTTGGCATGAAACCAGCTAGGTGACTTTGTGCCAGCCACTTTCTCTCAGCCTCAGGAAGGAGGCAATGGCAAACGGCTTCTGAAAAATGTGGCCCCAAAAATTGCAGGGACTTCGCCAGAGAATCGAACACAGGGTGAGGGGGAAGAGTTAACAATGGCTGGGCTTGCAAGTATCCAAGCCAGCCAGAAACTAAACCAACACTGCCTGGACTTCAAGCCATGTATAACGCAAAGTGATAATTTGCTTCGCAACACAAAATGGTTTTACTAAACCCAGGGAAATAGTATTGTCTACTTTTTCAGGGCCCTTTGAGGCATGGAGAAAGGATTTTGAACCCAAACTCAACTTACGACCACAATCGAGCCCAAAATTTAGCTAGCAAACATTTGATCGGTGAGTTTTGCCCCGTTTTACGATTTCCCTTGCCACGTGAATCGCTGCTGTTGTTAAGTCAGTCCCACGGTTGTGAGGAGGATCTGTTTTCCCTGTTGACCTGGCGGGTCAGAAGGTCACAAAAGGGGATCCCCCCCCACCTCCGGGACACTGGGATCGTCACAAATATGAGTCAGATGTTGAACAGCCTAATATAAATCACGTGACCATGGGGATGTTGCAATAGTCATAAGTGTGGAAAGAAAGATCGGGAAGTCTCTACTTTCAATGCCGTTGTAACTTTGAATGGTCACTAAATGAACTGTGGTAGGTCAAAGACTACCTGTGCAGTATTGTAGTTGCGTAATCAAAATTAATGCGGTTGTGTAATGCAAACGGCAGTATCAGGTAAACTCAAGGGTGGATCCATTTCTCACCACAAACAAATTCTATACCTGTGGGATTTTTTTTCAACCACAAAATAGTTTAACACACGCTATAATTTACCCCCAATTACCCAAAGCACAACTGTTGTGTTCATCGAACCAACAATCTATACTTATATATAAATGGCTGTGTGTGTGTGTGTGTGTGTGTGTGTGTGTGTGTGTTTTCCAGCATAACTCTGGAACGCCTCAAGCAATTTCAACCAAACTTGGTGCACAGATGACTTACTCTCTGGAAACAAATACTGTGGAGGTAAGTCACCCCTAACACCCCTAACAATGTGTGTGTTCTGTAAAGATACAGCCTGTTGTGCCTTCAAACAACTTCTACTGTACTGCTTCCGTAAGATGGCTTCTACTGAACAGTGAAGTGGAGTTGCCATGGTAATGGCTTCACAGTACTCCACATGGGGGCTCCCTTTGGTAAGGGAGAAAATCCAACATTAGAAATTACGTTTGGACTGGACATTGTCCCCCTCTGAATAAATACCTGGGCAACGCCAGGGTTATTAATTTGTGCCCAAATAAATGAACAATTCATATTACGGCATGGTGGTGACCAACTTTAGGGGTTTTCAAACATTTTTCAGGCTGCAGAACCCATTCAAAATGGAAATAAACAAGTGGGAGTTTCCTAGATTAAGAGGTGAAGCTCAAAGCTTGCACAGATAATCCTCAATTCACAATCCTTCGTTTAGCGACGGTTCAAAGTTACAACAGTACGGGGGGGGAGGGACTTGCAACCAGTCTTTGCACCCTATGACTGTTGTAGCATCCTCACAGTTATGCGATTCAAAATTTGGGGGTATGGCATTTGGCATATTATTCACAAATGGTTGCAAGAGTCCGGGTTCATGCGTGGCCTTCTCAGCTGGCTTCCCACAAGCAAATTGGGGGGGGGGGTTGTCACTGGTTTTGCTTTGCATGATTCACTTAGCAACTGGAGAGGTTTTGCTTAACAACGGTAGCATTACTCACTAAACAACTTGCCTTGCTTGGAAATGAAAATTCTGTTCCCAAATTGTCATAATTCGAGAAATATTTGTACAAAATGGGCTACGTTGGAGTGAATTTTTTTTCCATCCTCAATCCTTCCAAACTCACCACTTCCAACACTATTTCCAAAACTCTGTCCTGCTTAGCCCAACAGGCTGAATGGTTGCATTTCCACTACAGGCTGGATTATATACCACAGGCAGTCCGCGACTCACTAAATGATTCTTTTAGTGACCGCACAAAGTTATGACGGCACTGAAAAAAAGTGACTTATGGCCATATTTCACAGTTACGACCTTTGCAGCATCCACATAAGCAACATTCAGAGGCTGGGCAACTGGTTCATTTTTAAGGCGGTTGCTGTGTCCCAAGGTCACTTGATCCCCTTTTGTGATTGTCTGACCAGCAAAGTCAAAAGGGAAGCTCGATTCACTTAACAACCTGGTTACTAACTTAACTCCTGCCATGATTCACTTAACAACTGGGTTACTACTTGTCAACTTCAGGGACTCAGTTAACAAGTGTGGCAAGAAAGGTCATAAAATGGGGCAGAACTCACTTAACAAATGTCTCACTTAACCACAGAAATTTGGGGCTCCATTGTGGTCATAAATCAAGGACTACCTGTGAATCCAAGCAGACAGCATATAAACCCAAAATCGAATACGTTTGAACAAAAGATCTCTGCAATTAGCCATCCAATTACTACTGTCTAGTCTAAAAGATAAAGGTAAAGGTTCCCCTAGCACATATGTGCTGGTCGTTCCTGACTCTAGGGGGCGGTGCTCATCTCTGTTTCAAAGCCGAAGAGCCAGCGCTGTCCGAAGACGTCTCCATGGTCATGTGGCCGGCATGACTCAATGCTGAAGGTGCACAAAATACTGTTACCTTCCCACCAAAGGTGGTCCCTATTTTTCTACTTGCATTTTCAGAAGCTGGGAGAAGTAACGGGAGCTCACTCCATTACGTGGGGCTTGGGATTCGAACCACCGACCTTTCTGATCGACAAGCTCAGTGTCTTAGCCACTGAGCCACTGCATCCCTCACTGTCTAGTCTAGTGGACTTCAACTCCCAGAATTCCCCAGCCAGTGCCAACAGATCTTAAAAGCTATTATGGTTGAAAAATGGGAGTCTAGACGCTGGCTGAGGAATTCTGGGAGTTGAAGTCCACCTCTCTTAACCTTAACTTTGAGAACATCCCTTTTCCTCCATCTGGGGGGTGGGGGGAGTTATCCAAGCCAAGTACCCAGAAGAGCAAAGACAGCCTTGCTGGGTGGCTCAGGGGCTCAGACACTGAGCTTGTTGATCAGAAAGGTCAGCGGTTTGAATCCCTAGTATGGGTCTCCTGCAAGAGCAGGGGGTTGGACTAGATGACCTCCAAGGTCCCTTCCAACTCTGTTACTGTTAAGAGTGTGCCGGGGCACCCAAAGGAATGCAAAAGAGCCCCAGTGCTCAGCATCTCCTCCCCACCCAATTGCAGAAAATATGCCTTCAGCAGCAGAGGGGTCAATGCCTGGAATGCTCTACCTGACTCTGTGGTTTCTTCCCCAAACCCCCAAAACTTTAACCTTAGACTACCTACCATGGACCTTGCCCCATTCCTAAGAGGTCTGTAAAGGGGCGTGCATAAGCGCACCAGCGTGCCCACCCTCCCTGTCCTTTTCATTTGTATCCTTTCATGTATTCAAAACCATGTTTATGCTTTTATCTGTTATCGTGGTTTTTATTTAATTTTCCAGTAACAAACACACATAATTTGTGGATATTCCATTGACTCGGTCAAATCTTTTTAGAACCCCATTAACAATAATACAAACAATATATGAAATTCTTATCTTCCAACTTCAACTATATTGATCTCCTTTCATATTTCTTTTACATTTCCCCCTCCCCTTAATTCATTTAAACATAAACAACTTTTCTTTGCCCCCCCTATATTTGTTATCCCTTCCTCGGAATTTGGCCTTCCACATTATGAAAATCACTCTTAACCTGCCAAAAGGTTAAGGCATTCTGGATAAAAATATGGTGGGTCATGCAAAATATTTTTAAAAGAAGGATAAAGTT